TAAAATGGAGGAGAAGGAGGAGGAAATTGGATATTATTACTAATATTATTAACCATATCAATAATATTGATATTATTAATAATATTGATAATAATACATTAATAAATAATAATGTTGGTGGAATATTGTAAGTGGGGGATTGCACTTTTGGACTCCCTAAAATGTAGAAGGACAAGAAGGAAATGGGATGTTATTTCTAATAATATTAATAGTATCAATAATATTGATATTTTTAATAATATTGATAATAATACATTAACAAATAACAATGGAGGGACATATTTAAGGGGGGGGGAGATGCACTTCTGGACTCCCTAAAATGTAGAAGGACGAGAAGTAAATGGGATATTATTATTATTAATATTATTATTAATAGTATCAATAATATTGATATTATTAATAATATTGATAATAATACATAAATGAATAACATTGGGGTACATATTTAAGGGGGGAAGATGCACTTTTGGACTCACTAAAATGTAGGAGGAGGAGGAAATGGGATATTATTATTATTTATATTATTAATAGTATCAATAATATTGATATTATTAATAATATTGATAATAATACATTAACGAATAACATTGGGGGAACATATTTTTAAGGGGGGAAGATGCACTTCTGGACTCCCTAAAATGTAGGGGAATGACGAGAAGGAAATGGGATATTATTATTATTTATATTATTAATAGTATCAATAATATTGATATTATTAATAATATTGATAATAATACATTAACGAATAACATTGGGGGAACATATTTTTAAGGGAGGAAGATGCACTTTTGGACTTCAGAAAATGCAAGAGTAAGGCGAGAAGGCAGATGGTTGTTGTGGTCGTGGTTGTTAATATTAATAGCAATACATTAATTAATAATAATAATTGAGAGGGGGGGTTAGGGGAGGGGAGATGCAGTTCTGGACTCCCTAAAAAGAGGAGTGGGTTAGAAGTGATACACAAAAAAGAGACTTTTATAATTTGATTTTATCTAACTTTTCTTAATTTTTTTTATTTTAGGGGGGGCACAAAGTGGGAGTAGGTCTGCCCCCCCCCACTTTTGGGCCCCCCTGAAGCCCCTCCAACCTGGATCCACTTCTCCGTCCCTTTTCTCCCCCTTTTTAATTTTTTTAATTTTTGGGGGACACAAAGTGGGTGTAGGTCTGACCCCCCACTTTTGGGCCCCCCTGGAGACCCTTCAACCTGGATCCACTTCTCTGTCCCCTTTCTCCCCCCTTTTTTAATTTTTTTTAATTTTGGGGGGACACAAAGTGGGAGTAAGTCTGGTCCCCCCACTTTTGGGGCTCTCTGAAGCCCTCCAACCCAGATCCCCTTCTCCACCCCTGATCCCCACTTTTTAATTTTTTTAATTTTGGGGGACACACAAAGTGGGAGTAGGTCTGGCCCCCCACTTTTGGGCTCCCCTGAAGCCCCTCCAACCTGGATCCACTTCTCCATCCCTTTTCTCCCCCCTTTTTTAATTTTATTATTTTGGAGGGACACAAAATGGGACTTATTTTGGGGGGTCACAAAGTGGGAGTAGGTCTGGCCCCCCACTTTTGGGCCCCCCTGAAGCCCCTCCAACCCGGATCCACTTCTCCGCCCTGATCCCCCTTTTTTTAATTTATTTTGGAGGGACACAAAGTGGGAGTTATTTTGGGGGGTCACAAAGTGGGAGTAGGTCTGGCCCCCCACTTTTGGGCTCCCCTGAAGCCCCTCCAACCTGGATCCACTTCTCCATCCCTTTTCTCCCCCTTTTTATTTATTTTTTTATTTTGGGGGGTCGCAAAGTGGGAGTAGGTCTGGTCCCCCATTTTGGGCCCCCCTGAAGCCCCTCCAACCCGGATCCACTTCTCCGCACCTGATCCCCCTTTTTTTAAAAAAAATTATTTTGGAGGGACACAAAATGGGACTTATTTTGGGGGGTCACAAAGTGGGAGTAGGTCTGGCCCCCCACTTTTGGGCCCCCCTGAAGCCCCTCCAACCTAGATCCACTTCTCCATCCCTTTTCTCCCCCTTTCTTAATTTTTTTTATTTTAGGGGGGGCACAAAGTGGGAGTAGGTCTGCCCCCCCCCACTTTTGGGCCCCCCTGAAGCCCCTCCAACCTGGAACCACTTCTCCCTCCCCCCCCTTTATAATTTTTTACAGAGACACTCGCTGGAACACCTCAGCAAGCGAGAGTCCAAAAGAAAAAAAAAAAAAAAAAAAAAAAAAAAAAAAACAAACAAAAAAAAAAAAAAAAAAAAAAAAAAAAAAACAAGCAAGCGAGAGTCCAAAAGTGGCAGGCTCAAACCCAGCACCTCAATCCGTGGGTGATACCAGATGAGAGACTCCCCCCTGGGCACACAGAGGACTGGGCGACTTGGAAGAAATGTAATACAATGTTCTGGTTGCGGATGAAACGATAAATAAATAAATAATAATAATTTTGGGGGGACACACAAAGTGGGTGTAGGTCTGGCCCCCCACTTTTGGGCCCCCCTGGAGACCCTCCAACCTGGATCCCCTTCTCCACCCCTGATCCCCCTTTTTTATTTTTTTTATTTTGGAGGGTCACAAAGTGGGAGTTATTTTGGGGGGGTCACAAAGTGGGAGTTATTTTGGGGGGGTCACAAAGTGGGAGTTATTTTGGGGGGTCACAAAGTGGGAGTTATTTTGGGGGGTCACAAAGTGGGAGTTATTTTGGGGGGGTCACAAAGTGGGAGTTATTTTGGGGGGGTCACAAAGTGGGAGTTATTTTGGAGGGTCACAAAGTGGGAGTTATTTTGGGGGGTCACAAAGTGGGAGTTATTTGGGGGGGTCACAAAGTGGGAGTTATTTGGGGGGGTCACAAAGTGGGAGTTATTTTGGGGGGGTCACAAAGTGGGAGTTATTTTGGGGGGTCACAAAGTGGGAGTTATTTGGGGGGGTCACAAAGTGGGAGTTATTTTGGGGGGTCACAAAGTGGGAGTTATTTTGGGGGGTCACAAAGTGGGAGTTATTTTGGGGGGGTCACAAAGTGGGAGTTATTTTGGGGGGGTCACAAAGTGGGAGTTATTTTGGGGGGGTCACAAAGTGGGAGTTATTTGGGGGGGTCACAAAGTGGGAGTTATTTTGGGGGGGTCACAAAGTGGGAGTTATTTGGGGGGGTCACAAAGTGGGAGTTATTTTGGGGGGGTCACAAAGTGGGAGTTATTTGGGGGGGTCACAAAGTGGGAGTTATTTTGGGGGGGTCACAAAGTGGGAGTTATTTTGGGGGGGTCACAAAGTGGGAGTTATTTTGGGGGGGTCACAAAGTGGGAGTTATTTGGGGGGTCACAAAGTGGGAGTTATTTTGGGGGGGTCACAAAGTGGGAGTTATTTTGGGGGGTCACAAAGTGGGAGTTATTTTGGGGGGTCACAAAGTGGGAGTTATTTTGGGGGGTCACAAAGTGGGAGTTATTTTGGGGGGTCACAAAGTGGGAGTTATTTTGGGGGGGTCACAAAGTGGGAGTTATTTTGGGGGGGTCACAAAGTGGGAGTTATTTTGGGGGGGTCACAAAGTGGGAGTTATTTTGGGGGGTCACAAAGTGGGAGTTATTTGGGGGGGTCACAAAGTGGGAGTTATTTTGGGGGGTCACAAAGTGGGAGTTATTTTGGGGGGGTCACAAAGTGGGAGTTATTTTGGGGGGTCACAAAGTGGGAGTTATTTTGGGGGGTCACAAAGTGGGAGTTATTTTGGGGGGGTCACAAAGTGGGAGTTATTTTGGGGGGGTCACAAAGTGGGAGTTATTTTGGGGGGTCACAAAGTGGGAGTTATTTGGGGGGGTCACAAAGTGGGAGTTATTTTGGGGGGGTCACAAAGTGGGAGTTATTTTGGGGGGGTCACAAAGTGGGAGTTATTTTGGGGGGTCACAAAGTGGGAGTTATTTTGGGGGGTCACAAAGTGGGAGTTATTTTGGGGGGTCACAAAGTGGGAGTTATTTTGGGGGGGTCACAAAGTGGGAGTTATTTTGGGGGGTCACAAAGTGGGAGTTATTTTGGGGGGTCACAAAGTGGGAGTTATTTTGGGGGGTCACAAAGTGGGAGTTATTTTGGGGGGTCACAAAGTGGGAGTTATTTTGGGGGGTCACAAAGTGGGAGTTATTTTGGGGGGTCACAAAGTGGGAGTTATTTTGGGGGGTCACAAAGTGGGAGTTATTTTGGGGGGGTCACAAAGTGGGAGTTATTTTGGGGGGGTCACAAAGTGGGAGTTATTTTGGGGGGTCACAAAGTGGGAGTTATTTTGGGGGGTCACAAAGTGGGAGTTATTTTGGGGGGGTCACAAAGTGGGAGTTATTTTGGGGGGTCACAAAGTGGGAGTTATTTGGGGGGTCACAAAGTGGGAGTTATTTTGGGGGGTCACAAAGTGGGAGTTATTTTGGGGGGTCACAAAGTGGGAGTTATTTTGGGGGGGTCACAAAGTGGGAGTTATTTTGGGGGGTCACAAAGTGGGAGTTATTTTGGGGGGTCACAAAGTGGGAGTTATTTTGGGGGGGTCACAAAGTGGGAGTTATTTTGGGGGGGTCACAAAGTGGGAGTTATTTGGGGGGGTCACAAAGTGGGAGTTATTTTGGGGGGTCACAAAGTGGGAGTTATTTTGGGGGGTCACAAAGTGGGAGTTATTTTGAGGGGGTCACAAAGTGGGAGTTATTTTGGGGGGGTCACAAAGTGGGAGTTATTTTGGGGGGGTCACAAAGTGGGAGTTATTTGGGGGGGTCACAAAGTGGGAGTTCTTTTGGGGGGTCACAAAGTGGGAGTAGGTCTGGCCCCCCACTTTTGGGCCCCCCTGAAGCCCCTCCAACCTGGATCCACTTCTCCGCCCCTGATCCCCCTTTTCTCCCCTCCTTTCTTTCTTTCTTTCCTTCTTTCTTCCTTTCTTTCTCTGGACCCAATGGAGATCTTCTCTCCTCCTCTTTCTCCCCACATTGCTTTTCCCTTTTTTTTTTTTGGGGGGGGGGGGGGGTGTGTGTTCCTTTGTCCAGACTCCAGAGAAGAGAGAGAGAAGCATTCTGCCTTTCCAGACTTTCTGGTTTGCAAAGAGAGCGAAGGCAAAGCAAGAGAGAAGAGAGAGGGAGAGAAGGCGCAGAGAGATCCATCTCTGTGGATTTCTGTGAATTGTTTTCTCCCCTTTTGAATTAAGAGGGGAGGTGTGGGGTGTGTGGGGGTGGGGGTCTCGCTTCGGATCCTTTGTCTGGTCCCGGGACGCAGGCATTGGATTGCTTTCCACTGGCGTCATTGCCTTCCTTTTGCAAGAGGAAGGAAAAAAAAGAAGAGAGAGAAAGAGAGAGAGAAGAAGGAGAGAAAGAATCCCACAGAAGTAAGTTGCAAAGGAGGAGAGGCTCTCACTTTCCCCCTCCTCAATTCAAATATATATATATTATTTCCTATTTTTTAACTTGCTTGGCACTCACTTTCCCCCCTTTTCAATTCAAAAATAATAATATTTTTTGTAATTTTCTGACTTTCGGATTGTCTCTTCTTCTTTTTTCTCCTCCCAAGGTACCAGATCCGGATCGGGAACACTTTTTGGACTTTATCCCAAGCAAAGAAGTCAACGAAAAATCAACTTTTCTACTTACTTGGAGGAGAATTTTTGCAAAGCCAAAAAAGTCTGCATTTTGCAAGGAAAGGTTGCATTATTATTATTTTATTATTATTTTGCAAAGAAAATAATAATAATTATTATTTTTATTATTTTGCAAGGAAAAGTTGCATTATTATTATTTTATTATTTTGCAAGGAAAAGTTGCATTATTATTATTTTTATTATTATTTTGCAAGGAAAAGTTGCATTCTTATTATTTTTATTATTTTGCAAGGAAAGGTTGCATTATTATTATTTTATTATTATTTTGCAAGGAGAAGTTGCATTATTATTATTTTTATTATTATTTTGCAAAAAAAATAATTATTATTTTTATTATTTTGCAAGGAAAAGTTGCATTATTATTATTTTTATTATTTTGCAAAGAAAGGTTGCATTATTATTATTATTATTTTGCAAGGAAAGATTGCATTATTATTATTTTTATTATTATTTTGCAAGGAAAAGTTGCATTATTATTATAATTTTATTATTTTGCAAGGAAAGGTTGTATTGCTATTATTTTATTATTATTTTGCAAGGAAAGTTTGTATTTTTATTATTTTTATTATTTTGCAAGGAAAGGTTGAATTATTATTATTATTTTGCAAGGAAAAGTTGCATTATTATTATTTTCATTATTTTGCAAGGAACAGTTGCATTATTATTATTTTTATTATTTTTTCCAGAGGAGGGGTCTCTCCTCCCTAAACTTTTCCATATGGACCTCCTCCCCTTTCCCATAGCGAGAAACAGACGGCGGCTTTGAGAAGAAGACAAAAACTCTGGGTCTGGGTCTCCCGAACGAACGTGGATCTTTTCCTCCTTCTCTTCCTTCCAGTTTGGAGCAAGCCATTGGGATTGTTGAGCCAGGAAGAAGGCAAATCTCTCTCTCTGTGTTTCTGCTGCCAGATGAAGTTCTCCACTCGGGAGGATTAATTTTAATTTTTCTTTCATGACTCTGCCTTTGGAGATCCGGGGATTAAGGGTGTCTCTGGGATCCCCGAAGACGCTCCTGCTGTGGGGCCCTCTGCCCCCCTCCCCACGAGACCCCCGAGAGAGAAGAACAGCGGCGGGAGGGAAGACCCCTCCGCAGGGACCCCCCCAGCCATGCCGGGATGGCTGCTCTGCCTCTGGGTGCCCCTAGCAGCCCTGGCCGTGGAAGGTAAGGCACACGCGGCACCCCAAAAGGGGCCTCCACTGGGGAAGGGGCCTCCACTGGGGAGTGCCTGGGGGTCCGAACCCCCCAAAGCCCACCTCTCCTGGCATTCAACTGTGGACTCCTTTGGAGAGTGGGGGATTCTTCCTTGGGGGGTTTGAAAGGTACTTGGGAGTCTGACCCCTCAAAGCCCCCCCCCCCCCCCCCCACTTGGCTGAATTATGAGAGTCTTTGGATCTAACTTGGGGGTCCGAAGCTTGCATCCAACCCTCAAAAGCCCACCTCTCCGTGGTACTGAACTTTGGACTCCTTTGGAGAGTGGGTGCGTCTTTCTTGGGGGGTTTGAAGGGTCCACAATTGGGGAGTGCTTGGGGGTCCGACCCCCCAAAGCCCACCCCCACTTGGCTGAATTATGGGGGTCCTTGGGTCTAGCTTGGGGGTCCAAAGCTTGCACCCAACCCCCCAAAGCCCACCTTTCCTGGCATTCAACTCTAGACTCCTTTGGAGAGTGGGCACGTCTTTCTTGGGGGTTTGAAGGGTCCTTGATTGGGGAGTGCCTGGGGGTCTGACCCCCCAAAGCCCATCACTCCTGGCATTCAACTCTGGACTCCTTTGGAGAGTGGGTGCTTCTTCCTTGGGGAGTATGGGGAAGGAATGGGAGCAAAGGGGAAATAGTACACCCCCTTTCAGCTTAATGATGGGGGGTTCTTGGATCTAACTTGGGGGTCCAAAGCTTGCATCCAACCCCCTAAAGCCCACCTCTTCTGGCACTGAACTCTGGACTCCTTTGGAGAGTGAGTGATTCTTTCTTGGGGGGTTTGAAGGGTCCTCAATTGGGGAGTGCTTGGGGGTCTGACCCCCCAAAGCCCATCCCCCACTTGGCTGAATTATGGGGGTCCTTGGATCTAACTTAGGGGTCCAAAGCTTGCATCCAACCCCCCAAAGCCCACCTCTCCTGGCATTCAACTCTGGGCTCCTTTGGAGAGTATGTGCTTCTTCCTTGGGGGGTATGGGGAAGGAATGGGGGCAAAGGGGAAATAGTACACCCTCTTTCAGCTTAATTATGGGGGTCCTTGGATCCAGCTTGGGGGTCCAAAGCTTGCACCCAACCCTCCAAAACGCACCTTCCCTGGCATTCAACTCTGGACCCCTTTGGAGAGTGGGTGCTTCTTTCTTGGGGGGGGGTATAGGGAAAGGAATGAGAGCAGGTACACACACCACCATGGCTGAATTATGGGGGTCCTTGGGTCTAGCTTGGGGGTCCAAAGCTTGCATCCAACCCTCAAAAGCCCACCTCTCCTGGTACTGAACTCTGGACTCCTTTGGAGAGTGGGTGCCTCTTCCTTGGGGGGTTTGAGGGGTCCTCGACTGGGGAGTGCTTGGGGGTCCAACCCCTCAAGGCCCACCTCTCCTGGCACTGAACTCTGGACTCCTTTGGAGAGTGAGTGCTTCTTTTTTGGGGGATTTGAAGGGTCCTTGATTGGGGAGCACTTGGGGGTCTGACCCCCCAAAGCCCACCACTCCTGGCATTCAAATCTGGACTCCTTTGGAGAGTGGGTGCTTCTTTCTTGGGGGATAGGGAAAGGAATGAGAGCAAAGGTACACGCACCGCCTTGGCCGAATTATGGGGGTCCTTGGATCTAGCTTGTGGGCTCCGTTTGGAAGCGTGCACTCAACCCCCCAAAGCCCACCTCTCCTGACATTCAACTCTGGACTCCTTTAGAGAATTGGTGCTTCTTCCTTGGGGGGTATGGAGAAGGAATGGGGGCAAAGGGGAAAAAGTACACCCCCCTTCAGCTGAATTACGGGGGTCCTTGGATGTAGTTTGGGGGTCCAAAGCTTGCACCCAACCCCTCAAGGCCCACCTCTCCTGGCATTGAACTCTGGACTCCTTTGGAGAGTGGGTGCTTCTTCCTTGGGGAGTATGGGGAAGGAACGAGGGCAGGGGTGAAATGGTATAGCTCCCCCCTTGACTGAATTATGAGGGTCCTTAGATCTACCACCCCGAAATCCTACCTCATGGGTCAATCACTTGGCACTTGTTTGGGGGTCTTGAGAGATCCACGTCTTGGATCTTTGCCCTCAAAGCCCATCTTGCTCGGCATTGAGCTCATGACTCCCTTCAAAAATGGGTGCTTCTATTGGGAATGGGGGTCAAAGATAAGGTAACTGGGAGTCATTTGGGGCAGGGGTCTGCATTCGGGGGGGGGGGGGGGTCTTTGAGGATTCAGAGCCTGGATCAAACCCCCCAAAGTCTGCCCATCTCCCCTCATGGGGCCTTTTCCTGATCTCCTTTGGAAATGGTTTGTTTTGTGAGCGGTTGCGAAGGAATGGTACGAAGGTGAAGCCAAGAGAAGCCCCCCCAGAGGAGCATTTGGGGCAGGGGTCTGCATTCGGGGGGGGGGGTCTTTGAGGATTCAGAGCCTGGATCAAACCCCCCAAAGTCTGCCCATCTCCTTTGGAAATGGTTAGTTTTGTGAGCGGTTGCGGAGGAATGGTGTGAAGGTGAAGCCAAGAGAAGCCCCCCCAGAGGAGCATTTGGGGCAGGGGTCTGCATTCGGGGGGGGGGGTCTTTGAGGATTCAGAGCCTGGATCAAACCCCCCAAAGTCTGCCCATCTCCTTTGGAAATGGTTAGTTTTGTGAGCGGTTGCGGAGGAATGGTGTGAAGGTGAAGCCAAGAGAAGCCCCCCCAGAGGAGCATTTGGGGCAGGGGTCTGCATTCGAGGGGGGGGGGTCTTTGAGGATTCAGAGCCTGGATCAAACCCCCCAAAGTCTGCCCATCTCCTTTGGAAATGGTTAGTTTTGTGAGCGGTTGCGAAGGAATGGTACGAAGGTGAAGCCAAGAGAAGCCCCCCCAGAGGAGCATTTGGGGCAGGGGTCTGCATTCGAGGGGGGGGGGGTCTTTGAGGATTCAGAGCCTGGATCAAACCCCCCAAAGTCTGCCCATCTCCTTTGGAAATGGTTAGTTTTGTGAGCGGTTGCGAAGGAATGGTACGAAGGTGAAGCCAAGAGAAGCCCCCCCAGAGGAGCATTTGGGGCAGGGGTCTGCATTCGAGGGGGGGGGGGTGAGAGTCTAGAGGGACGGGGTGAGGGCGGAGGGCTGGCGCGGGGGATCGGATCGGAAAACCAAACCTATAGAGAGTGGTAGGGGAGGGAGGGTGGGGTTGTGGGGGAGTGGGGGTGTGGTGGCGAAAGGGGGGGGGTGGGGGATGGTGGGGGCATTCTACTGCAGCCGGGGTGAGGGGTGGGGGGGGGGGGGGTCTTTGAGGATTCAGAGCCTGGATCAAACCCCCCAAAGTCTGCCCATCTCCTTTGGAAATGGTTAGTTTTGTGAGCGGTTGCGAAGGAATGGTACGAAGGTGAAGCCAAGAGAAGCCCCCCCAGAGGAGCATTTGGGGCAGGGGTCTGCATTCGGGGGGGGGGGGGTCTTTGAGGATTCAGAGCCTGGATCAAACCCCCCAAAGTCTGCCCATCTCCTTTGGAAATGGTTAGTTTTGTGAGCGGTTGCGAAGGAATGGTACGAAGGTGAAGCCAAGAGAAGCCCCCCCAGAGGAGCATTTGGGGCAGGGGTCTGCATTCGAGGGGGGGGGGTCTTTGAGGATTCAGAGCCTGGATCAAACCCCCCAAAGTCTGCCCATCTCCTTTGGAAATGGTTAGTTTTGTGAGCGGTTGCGAAGGAATGGTACGAAGGTGAAGCCAAGAGAAGCCCCCCCAGAGGAGCATTTGGGGCAGGGGTCTGCATTCGAGGGGGGGGGGTCTTTGAGGATTCAGAGCCTGGATCAAACCCCCCAAAGTCTGCCCATCTCCTTTGGAAATGGTTAGTTTTGTGAGCGGTTGCGAAGGAATGGTACGAAGGTGAAGCCAAGAGAAGCCCCCCCAGATGCATTTGGGGCAGGGGTCTCTCTTGGGTCTGTCTTAGGGGTCCAGGCCTGAATCAGACTCCCAAAAACCCACCTCATTGGCATTGAGCTCAGCTGTTCCTTGCAAAGTGGGTCTTTTATTTTGGAGTTGTTGAATTATGGGGGTCAGTTCCACATCTTGACCTTCTAGAAGCGTTTCTCAACCTGGGGGTCGGGACCCCTGGGTGTCAAAGGGGTCGCCAAAGACTATCAGAAAACACAGTATTTTCTGTTGGTTATGGGGGTTCTGTGTGGGAAGTTTGGCCCAATTCTATCCTTGGTGTGGTTCAGAATGCTCTTTGATTGTAGGTGAACTATAAATCCCAGCAACTACAACTCCCAAATGTCAAGGTCTATTTCCCCCAAACTCCATCAGTGTTCACATTTTGGCATATTGAGTATTCGTGCTAAATTTGGTCCAGATCCATCATTGTTTGAGTCCACAGTGCTCTCTATATGTAGGTGAACTACAACTCCAAAAGTCAAGGTCAATGCCCACCAAACCCTTTCGTGTTTTCTGTTGGTCATGGGAGTTCTGTGTGCCAAGTTTGGTTCAATTCCATCGTTGGTGGAGTACGGAATGCTCTTTGTTTATAGGTGAACTATAAATCCCCGCAACTATAAATCCCAAATGACAAAATCATAATTTTTTGAGTGATGGTCACTCCTTCTGTTGTGAGACGTTTTGTTGCCAAATTTGGTGCGATTTCGTTCATTGGTTCTTTTGTTTTTAAGGTACTCATTATGCACAGAGCATAAATATATATATTAGGCTTGGGCAATCCATGGTTCTAAATGGTTCTAAAGTACTTACAAAACTAAAGTTCTCGTGGTGAAAATTTCAGAACTCTAACAAAACTCTCAAAATTTCATAATAAATGGCAGTTCCTAATTGGTTCCGTCATTAAAATAACCAATAATGAAATAATGATTAAATTTTGGGAGTTTTGTTAGAGTTCTGAAATTTTCACCACGAGAACTTTAGTTTTGTAAGTACTTTAGAACCATTTAGAACAGTGGTTCTCAACCTTCCGAATGCCGCGACCCCTTAATACAGTTCCTCATGTTGTGGTGACCCCCAACCATAACACTAACATTATGAGTCG